TTCCCCCACACGACTAGAAACTGTTTAACCCTCATGAACAATCCGGGACTTCAAAAGCTATCTGCAAGATCGTCTCTTTCCGAAAATTCGAGGCACAAGTTCAAGGGAAATTCTATTTTGCGTCTCCCTTCTTCGTCATCAAATGAAAATATTCTGCATTTGCTGTTACCTATGAGGAATGTTGGCTGGGGGGTTATTCCCATTATAAGAAGATGCCGCCCGGCTGGTGTGGCTCCGTGGTTGAGCGTCGACCTAGGAACCAGGAGGTCAAAGTTTGGTTCCCGGTCAGGGCACATGCCCAGGTTGTGGGCTCCATCCCTGGCAGTGGGCGTGCAGGAGGCAGCCGACCCATGAACCTCTCTCATCATTGAGGTTTCTATCTCTCTCTCCCTCTTCCTTCCTCTCTGAAATCAATGAAAACTATATATCTACTAGAGGCCCAGTGCATGAAATTCATTCACTTGAATGGGAGGGGGTCCCTCAACCCGGCCTGCGCCCTCTCGCAGTCTGGGAGCCCTCAGGGGATGTCTGACTGACGGCTTAGTGCCGGTAGTCGGACAACCTTAGTGCCGTAGAGGCGGGAGAGGCTCCCACCACCACTGCTGTGCTCTCCAGCCGTGAGCCCAGCTTCTGTCTGAGCAGCGTTCCCCCGTGGGAGCGAAATGACCACCAAGGGGCAGCTCCTGCATTGAGCATCTGCCCCCTGGTGGCCAGTGTGAGTCATAGCGACCGGTCGTTCCGCCATTAGGTCGATTTGCATATTAGCCTTTTATTATATAGGATATATACTTATGAGCCACAATGAGAAAATGGCATCTTTCTGGCCTGGTCCATGTCCATCCAAGAGGGAGGAGACGGACTAAAGAGGGCAAAGGCAAGCTCTCCGCCCCCCCCCCCCCATCATGATCTTGGCTCAATGTTCCCCAATCATGGTACCCACTGCGGATGGAGAATGCAGTCGGCTGAGCGGACAGGGAAGACGTGGGGTCTCGCTCTCTTTTCAAGCCGATCGTCACATCATCAGGCGTCTCAACAAGGCGAGTGTGGAGAACGGTTTCTCAAAGCGTAGTTCCCGGATGTATTGCTGTCTCTCTCTCTCTCTCTCTCTCCTTCTCCCTTCTTCCCTGAAATGAATAAAAATATGTTTAACATTTTTTTTAAAAAGCCAAAGGCATTCAGGATCAAAATGAGGAGGGTTGCCAGGGCCCCTCACAATGAGCTCAGTAAACACATGAACCCCAGTCACTAACTCTCGGTGTTGTTTTCTCCTGCCTGATGCATCCAAGTCAAGTTGTCAAAGATGAACGTTCCCCGAAGCACTTTCTAATGAGATTCAAACTTCGTCTGTTAAATGTCAGATGTATACAGAGCCTCCTATTTGCATTGCTAATTGACCTCTTTCAAAGCCAGTTGACATTTTTGGCTTTTTTTTTTTGAAAAGTGCTCCTGATCGGTTCACTGTAAAGAGGAATTGACTTGTCTTCTGGGAAGAGACACACTTCACCATCGTACAGCTCCTCCATACCAGCTTCAGTGCCCACAACAATGGATTAGATTCCTCTTATATTTCCTGAATATTAATTATGAATCAGATTCCATCTGAACACCACTCTTAAAACCCTTTTTTTTTTCTTTTAAATCCTCACCCGAGGATATTTTCCCATTGATTTTTAGAGAGAGTGGAAGAAAGAGGGAAAGACAGAGAAATATCAATGAGAGAGAAACACATCGATTGATTGCCTCCTGCATGCGCCCGGACCAGGGCCCAGGCCGGGGAGGAGCCTGCAATGGAGGTACATGCCCTTGACCCGAATTGAACCCAGGACCCTTTGGTCTGCAGGCCGAGGCTCTATCCACTGAGCCAAACCGGCTAGGGCATACCACTGGATCTCATCTCACAAAAAAGTGCTGCTTAGCTTCTAACAATCTGTCCTGTCTTTTCCAAGGATTCATTAGTACAGGCGTCTTTGCTAGACAAGGGCCTCACCCTGAGTCCTATACAGGAACCTGCGGGGCAGCCTGGGCTGGCGGTCAGCTAAGCTCTGAACGATGGCTAGGGAGCAGCGAGCATTGGCCGGGCAGCTGCAGGTCAGCCCTGAAAGCCAGCAGAAGTCACGTGAGCGCTCGGCCACCAGCGCGCGGGCCTTGCTCTCCCGGCCTTTGTAAGAGCTGCCGTTTTGCTGGGGCCCGTGTTGATTTATCACCAAAGGAGCAGCCCCCACAGCTCTTACTGCCACCCAGGGCATCGATCTGAATCTCACCAGTGGACCCTGTAGAGATGGAAGATGTGCAGCCGTCTGGTCACAGCGCCCCCTAGCGCTTCCCCGAGAAAGTGACTCTTCATGAAGAAGCATTGGTCCTTCAGCCCACCCCCCGGGGGTTTAATGAGTTTGGCACTGACCACATACATACGTGAACTTTTCCCAAACAGTGTTCTTGCGCGCCATCAAGAAGACGAACAGCTTGTTCTTCAGGTTGGCCGTCCCTGTTCTCTCTCCAGACACCCCGATTACCCTCGACAGCCTGTGGGAATGAGAAGACGGATATCACATAGCTCCATGGGGATGGCAATGCGCCTGCCGGCCGGGTGTCTCAGGGGGAGGGGGGTTCTGGGCTGAAGAACAGTGGGAGGAGTCCAAGGGTACTTCTCCTCTCGCTTCTTATCTCAGTTCCCATAGAAAAGTCTCTGCTGAAATACAGGTCCAGAGAGAGTCCACCCATAAAAACGAAGAAAAATGACCGTTCGGGTCAAGGGGGAGAGAGCGCTTCGTGAGCCAAGACTTCACAGAGGGAAACACGGTTTTGGAAAATGTACAACGGGATCTTGTTCTGGCTTATCAGCGCCTCTGGCTTCACGCTTCTTTCCCACTAACTCGAATGCACGATGCAAAGATGGTGGCTGTTGACGTAGAATGAAATAGACCTAAAAAGTTGCCTCATAGAACCGCCTAGAACCCTAAAAGCATGCGCAGTTGACCTACGAGCCACATGGGTTGAAGCGCACAGTGCACTTATCTGCAGATTTTCTTCAATACGTACAGTCATTGTGCTTTTTCTTCCTTATGATTTTCTTAATAACATTTTCTTTTCTCTAGCTTATTTTAGTGTAAGAATACAGTATCCAATACACAAATTAGTCCAGTCGATAGTAGACTATCAGTACAGCTGGCCCTCCACATCCACAGATTCCTGACCCTGGACTGGAAATACTGTTTTCGGGCCTGGCCGGTGTGGTTCAGTGGATAGAGCATCAGCCTACGGACCAAATGGACCTGGGTTCGATTCTGGCCAAGGGCGCGTACCTCGGTTGCAGGCTCCTCCCCGGCCTGGGCCCTGGTCAGGGCTCATACAGGAGGCAACCAATCGATGTGTTTCTCTCACATCGATGTTTCTCTCTGTCTCTCCCTCTCTCTTTCACTCTCCCTAAGAGTCAATGGAAAAATATCCTCTAGTGAGGATTAATCAAAAACAAATAAAGAAAAATAAAAAAGAAAGAAAATACTGTTTTCAGCCCAGCTGGTGTGGCTCAATGGTTGAGCATCGACCTATGAACCAGAAGGTCAGGGTTCGATTCCCGGTCTGGGCCCATGCCCGGGTTATGGGCTCAATCCCCAGTGTGGGGCGTGCAGGAGGGAGCCGATCTGTGATTCTCTCTCATCATTGATGTTTCTCTCTCTCTCTC